AGGGCTCCTAACATATTTTTACAATAGCAGTTGAAAAATAAAAGAAATTCATAGTCACAATTTTTTTTTTTTTTAAGCATTCAAAGTTTGAAGTTTGACAACATATGTAAAAATCACGAAAATTAGCAATTATTTAAAGCTAGAAATTTATAAAAAAATTTCTTTTTAAATCTAAGATTTGAAAATTTTTAATAATCTATAATATATCCTAGACAGATAAACCGTCTCCGCTCAGAATCGTTTTTCGTATATAATGATATAATATTATCATTGGAAAATTTAATTTTCCAATTTTATTTAATTCCATCCATTACAGCAACTCACTTGCAACTTAGTGTACAGCAGAGTGACAGCCACTAATTACCCGATATTTTTTATAATGTAACTAATAATTAAATACAATTTTATGTAATCTAAGAGATAAAGTTTATTATACTGTGTTTGTTTAATAAGTACGTATTCATAATGTTTAGGAAAAGACTTGATACCTACGTTTGCAACATTTGTTTTATGCCTGGGCATTGGTGTCGAACTCGGAATTTTAGTAGGTGTTGCCATAAATATAATGCTTCTTCTTATACCATCGGCTAGACCGTTTTTGCACATTGAAATGAAAAAGGTAATATTTGAATTATTTTTTAAGTTTTTTGAAATATCTTTGATTTTTATATCATGAAAATTAGGATTTTCTCCTTATTTTTTACCGAATAAAACTGTATAAATGTGTTATAATTAGTAAATTAATCACAAGTTTTCGATAATTTCAGTTAAGAACTGGTCTGGATTATTTACTTGTGACTCCAGAGAATAGTCTTTACTTTCCAGCTGTAGACTTCATGCGAGCCAAAACGGATCGAGCTGCTGTTAAAATGGGACAGTCTAAACTTCCTGTTGTGGTTGATTGTAAACATATACTTGATGCAGACTTTACAGCTGCTAAAGTAAGAATCAAAATAAAATAATACAGTATATTTTTGATTATCCCACTCTTATRTCAAATATCCACACTACAAAATTGTAAATACTACTATACGAAATAATAAATATAATTTTAATTTGTTTTATTAAAATAAATAATTTAAAATACACTTTAAGTAAGCACTTTGAAAAATGTAGTAGGTACCTATGTAGTATGAAGTATGTAGTTTGAAAAATAATATTAATTATTATTCTTAATTATATAATGTGTTCCGTAAAATAGGGTAAAATACTAAAAGCTCAAAAAGTAAAAAAAATGGGGTAAATAAAATTATTTATTTATGGTTTATTACAATTTTATTATTTTTTTTATGGATAAATTCTGTAGTATTAACAATAACACTTAAAATTAAATCTTAGTTACAGCTAGTTATGCTCAATTCTTTTAATGTTTTATTATTTTAAATTTTTATATTATCTTCTGAGATATTAGTCTTTAAATGCTATCAAAGTTACACAATATTATKAGCATAGACCTTATACTAGTTAGCATACCTACATTTTTTATCAAAGCGAGGCCTTATTTTATGAAAAATGTATTGGTACATAAATATACAGTTTGTCATGGTACTTTGGTCTTTGGTGGATACAAATATAAGTGTATCAAAGCCACCCCACAAAATCAAAGTTTGATTAAATATCCGCTTAATTCTCAATTACGATTATTGCATGATGAGGATAACCAATATTTTACTATATAATATTAGCATTAATATGTATAGGTAGTGAGTACTCTGAACTTTTACTCGAAAGTGTTAGGAACTTACTATTGATTTTATCCTTAACATTAATATTATACTATACTTAATAAATATTATTTATTTTGTTATTCAAGTTGAAATAATTTTTGTTACCGTCTAGGGCATTGCTGGATTGATAACAGACTTTAAAAGGCGAAAACAGCCGTTATGTTTTTATAATCCAAGAATAAGTGTATTAGCCGTGCTACAGGGCGTGTGTGTGGATGAAATTGTTCACTGTTTCACATATGACGAACTGGAACAAACCCTAAATGGTAATACCCAATAGCCATGATAAYATTATAATATTCGTTTTATGTTTAGGCAGTAGATACTGTATGTAATAAATACTAAATAGTTAATATTAATACCTAAATAATTATATATGAACCTAATTAATATCATAATAGGACTTCAACTATTGTAGGAAAAAAAAACTTCTTTTATAAAATCAAAACACATGAATTTAATTGTAATTGAAAACCATTAAATTCTGAAATAAAATAAAAATTCATTTATTTTTAGATATCAACTTTTCTGGAAATCCAGCTGAATTAAAAGACATAGTACATACAACATCCCAGCAGTCACACGAAACTCCGCTTTTAAACAGAAGACAACATTAAACACACAATTTATTTTATAGTTTATTGTTTTCCTTCATAATGAATAATTCTATTGTAATTTAATTTAATTTATATAGAATCATCATATATGAGTGTTTTAGTTCATGTACAGTTTGTCCCGAAAGGATATACCCATTAGCTGTAGAGGGGTACTCACCGCCCGAATAGAAATAATTTTTTTTGCCGTTTTATCTATAAGCTAAAAAAAAWTATTAAAAATCATGTGATTGATAAATATAAAATTTCGAAAGGTCAAAATTTTCAGCAAAATAAATCCTATAAAAAAGCTATTTTTATTTTTTTCAGAAATTAAAAAATTAAAAAAATTTTTTTTTACTTTTTTCCAAAAAAATAAAATACAAGTAGCCTTTGTATGTTTGAGCTTTATAAAGAAAAGAAAATATTTATTATCTCAGGAGATAAATGGGTCTGAATGGGATAAATCACCTCGCGGGACACTCTGTATAATGGATATAATTAAAATTTTTTTTATGAAATTTGTGTTAACATTCAATAATGACAACTTTATTTCATTTGTACAAATTTTGTCAAAAGTTAGAAATTAAGGATCATTTTTTATTAATATTTTATTATTTTCAATAATTGTAATTTATTTATATATTTTTCTAATAATTTGTACACTTGTTCGTTGTACTATACTTACTTGTATAGTTTATATGAATGTATGACAATATTTTTATAAATGAGACGCATAAATATTTTTCTAAGTTAATCAAGTAAAAAATGTCAAGATCATTTTTATAACTGACCACCTATTTTAGGTTTTATTTTTGAATAATGTTGCAAATAAATTGTTTTTATAGGTATTCATTTAAATATTCTATATAATTTATAATTTATTGCTGTATTACTCAATTCAAAGAATAAGCCAAGTTTAAAAATTATTAATAATATTATTTTTAGTATACAATATTTTTTGAATAGATATTAGTTTTTTTTGTGTTATGTGAAAATGTATTTCAATTTTTTTTATTTTACATTTTTTATTTCAAACACATGCAGGATAATTTTTGTTAATAATTATTACAATCACTCAAATGTATTAAATAAATATCCTAGGTATATTTTTGATTTCAGTTGTTTTTATTTTAAAGAAAAATGATAATATTCAAAATGTATTGATTTAAAGATAAAATGTTTTCATTGTAATATTTTGTACCTTAGTCTAGAACATCCATGAATAGTTTTTATTAATATAAATTGAATAATTTATGRCGTTTAAAGTAAAATTATAAGCATTTCTAACAACTAATAAAAATTATTTAATTTTTAAAAATATGTTAAAGATTGAATGATTAATATCTATATAGGTTAGGCATATTAAGGGTATTAGGAATAGTTCTGTAGTAGTGTTTATAACTCTCAACAGTGATTTTCTAAATATTAAAATATTTTGCCTATTATGTTATGTTATATTATACATTCCAAATTTATCATAAACTGTTTAAATATTTTAGTTAAACATTTTTAATGTTTAAATTGATTTATAAGTTGTAACCAAAAGTTATATTTTATAATAGTAGGCAATTAGGTAATTAATTTAATGCAACAGAACAAACTATTACAGTAACCTCTGATATAATTTCCAACTACTTATCAGCGTAATGTCTGATTATTTCATTTACATCTTATTTAGATTAGAACGTATAATAGGTTATAGCTATAGGCTGTATTCGATTTCATGTAACTGTTGAAATATAATATAAAATCCGTTCCTATATTATGCAACATATTTTGTAGTGTGTCGAAAGTTATGTTAAAAACTTAAGTACCAATATTTTTTCTTTCTAGTATTGTTAGATGTTTTTTT